ATTTATATTTTTTTTAAATTTTCAATTAAATCTAAAATCAGATTTTGTTCAAAAGTCAAATTAAAACTGGAAAAAAATATACATATATAATTAAATTATATATATAATTAAGTATATAATTTATATTATTTTTTTTTTTTAGCAAACATTTGGTTTATCAGAACGAAGATTTTGTGCTCTCATACTATCATTCATGATTGGAGCATGTACACATCAATTATATTTAAAATGGCAACAACCTATCCTACCTATACCACCATATTATTCACAAACTGTAATAGCATTTGTTATTGAGGTAATCATATTTTTAAACAAACCTTTTTTTTTTCTTTTTAATAAAATTTAAATATTTTTTCAATAATTTTTTTCAGTAATATTTTAATTAAGAAAGAAATTTTAGATTTTAAAACTTTTTGAAATATTTTATATATTAAATAAAGTAATCAAATTTGAAATAGTTTTATGAATTTAAACTTCATTTCTATATCAGAATTAGAAATTCCATTCGAAATATGAATTGTAAATTTTTAATTTAACAAATTTCATGCCTTTTTTTTTCCTTTTTTTTCATTGCAGTTTATTTGTCCAAAAGTTGGCCAAAATCGTCGAAAATTCTTATTTTATCCGATAGGTTCAGCAACTTTATTATGTATTATATATGGTATTTTTTATCAACAATTCGATTTTATCTATTTATTTTCAACAATTGTTGCTATTGGTTTTACATATACAAATTTACAAGGATTACTAGAAAAAGGCTATTGTAAGTATATGTATTTAATTAATAAGTAATTAATAGCAAATACGATTTAAATAATTAATTAAAGTAATTGATAGCAAATATGTATTTAAGCAAAAATAGAAAAGATATAATTACATGTCATAATTTATATCAAATAAACAATTATTTTACAACTCATTAAATGTTTGATGCTTTTCATAGATTTTTTAATTTTAACAATTTCTAATGATTATTTTCAAAAGTAACTAACATTTATCTATAGATTATTAGATCTTGAAAGTTATTGAAAATGTTAGGAAGCTATAAAGATAGCATATATATATGAAAGAAGAAGATTAATTGTCTGCATCTTTTGAAATTTAATCACACTCTCAAATTCATTTTACACTTTATAGCACAAGATATTCTAATTTAATCGGAAATCTTCCCACCATAACCTATGAAATTTCACAAAAAAAAAAAAAAAAACGATCGGAGATTCATTTATTGAAGGATGACAATTTTAGCATTTCCCGCTAACTATAAGTCATATTTATTTGTGCTACTTTTATCTTCACACTAAGCCACATCTATTCTTGCTATGAATTTCTTACTTGCTATTTCGAAATAACTTTTTGTCTCCTGTTCTCCATAAGTACTAAAAAATAAAGGTAACAGAATAATGCGATTTGCGAGAACTGAAATTGTGTTGCAAAATAAACAATAATAAATCAACCTTGCTCATCTTATAAGCTCTAGCCTGCTTGATTTTTGACCGACAGATGACAAATTCACTTACCTCAAGTTGCAGTAAAGTTATGAGTGATGAAGTGTGAGGTATTAAATTATTTAATCGACTTTAATGATTTTTTTATTTCAGATCGAAGCGATTATGCGACAGCGCACGAACACCTAGCACTTCCAATAAATTCCATGTACAATCAATTCATATGCACAATACTTTTTGGCACTTATATGCCCGATCGAGCACCACATGAAGTTATTCCCGATGCTTTCGAAGAACAATATACAATGATTGCTCACTAGAATTATACAGCGATAAAATCAAGATAAATGTTAACCTCAGTAATTTCGTTTACAGTTCCAAGAGACAAAAACTCCTACAAAGTATCACTTCAAAATCTCATTATGATATGCAAGAAGTAACATGATGGAATGTTAACAAAACTGCAGCATATATTTTGCAGCGACATGAATAAATGACAGCAGTCTGGCCCAAAGAAAATTTTTAAAGTCAATCGACAAACTGTTCAATGCAGTTTACACAAGCTCAGGAATTTCAAATAAATTTGACATAGCATGGAGCAGTACCTGACAGTTCAAGTAAAGCAAAGTGAAATTAATATAAAGTAACTCTAAGATGGTCATACTGCTAGAAAATAAGCTTCGGAAAGACGCAGCTAAAAAATGGTCGTCTAGCCATATTTCAACAGAACAAAGTGTCATAAATATGAGAAAATGATCCTACTGAATGGAGGTTTAACTCTGTTCTGTATACCGTTGCTTTTTCCGCTGACATTTTTCGATGGAGCATGGCTTCCTCTTCCTAATGTATTTTTTATTTTCCGTATTCTGCTTCCTGTAAACATAACTGGAAGGTTATATGTTCAAAGTTGATTTAAATGGATATCACTTTTTCAATGTTCTGCAGTATTATAGATCCGAGTGCAAATAAAGTAGCATCCCCAAGCGTATGCAATTTAGTAATTTCTTCTTAGAGGTTTCTACAGGGTGCATACGACTACTTAAAAAAAAAAAAAAAAGTACGTCTCAATGGTACTATAAGCCTCTTATGGCACTAGTGAGCTTTATTTCAATTTTTTCTTTTTTTTTTTAAAACAACATCGCTTCTTATACACAAAAGTTCATATGGATTACACATAAGAGTCATTTCTATTGGAAAAGACTTCATCAAGAATTACTCTGTGATAACAAATATTACACAATAACAAATATACGAAACAACTAACATTTCACTGTCATGTTGTTTATGTTGAAATTTGTGTACTCTGAATTTCGCAACATTTTCTTTTGACTGAATATTATTAACTATATATTGCTTTTTCGCTGGCTCATTTTCTGGTTTAAGGAGAATATACCTGTAAAATAAGCAAGTTTTCATGGGCTAATTTTTCTTGTTTCAAGGTGATTCAGATATGGAAAACATTAAGTTTATAGTAATTGTAAGAGAGTATAAAATCAAAGAAAAAAAAATTACAGGAGCCATATATACCTATACAACCTAGATCTAGATTTACTGCCTCATTTTCCGAATTTCGAGAAAAAGACAAATCACAAAACCTCTACCGAGTGTGTCATTTTTCTAAATGGAGATACAATCTAGTCTATATAACTCTGCCCATTTTACACTATGGATGATTGATGCAACAAATCTACAAACACTAAATGAAATATTACTTCAAATTATCATCCTCTATTGTATTCTGTGAAGTGCTGGCTGGAGTGAACTCGATGTTATAATTGATCAACGTATGTATTGTCGAAGCCATTAGCTGGAATATCACATTCTGATATTACGCACAGACAGTAGTGAGAATTTGTAACATTGAATCCTTGATGAGTCTGCGGAATTCAAACTGTCCAACAGACTCTGCCAAAAAAGAAAATGGAATTTGCAGAATGAAACTTCTCAGCAGAACTTTAAAACCGTACACACCTTATCCACATTAACACGTCTTGAAGCAGCACCTGCCCTTAGCGCCTCATCCAGTTCCCTTTGTTTCTGCATCTTTGGAATAAAAACCACCAATTTCTCAACGCAAACCTGGAAAACCCTGCCACATTTAGCACTACATCGTCCACATGCACCAAATCTACTCCACCAACCCCTACACACTGACAAAACTTTGAATTCCCTTACATCGGATAAATACAACGAAATGTTCGCAACCAACACATTAACACACCCCCCTTCCCTTCTCTAGAATTCCTGATATTTCAAAATCGAACTCGCCACTATATACTTTACCATTTGTTCATTAAACACAACGAATGTAACTTCAAATGATGACAAAACATCCGAACACCGAACACCAATTAAAAGCTGATTTTGGAATTATTAAAGTCAGCATCTCCCAAAATATCGTCCTAATTTTCTCAGCACTAGTACCATGCCTTCTAAAACCAGCGCTTGCATTACTGTATACGAAACCCAAAATTCACATTTTTATCAACAAAGGAAAGGAATATTCGATGACGCTTCAATATTCCAAAGATAAGCCAAGGCAATTTAATGAAAACAGAAATATTTTACCACTTGTCCATTAAACATAACGATGCAAATTTCAAATAACAACAAACATTGCCAAAATTCAAAGACCAATCCTTGCTAAATAAGATTTTTAAGAATTAAACTAATTTCACAAAACTATTTCATCAATTTTCGGGGTAAAGCACCACCAAGCCACCTGCAAAATGAAAAACGCCCCTTTTAATAACAACTCAACGCATATGTAATAACATTGGATGACATCGCCCTTATAGAACCCTCTTTTTTCTAAATATTTATTTCTTCTTTCCAGCTGGTGCAGTTCCAGCCTTCTGCGCTGCCTTCGTCACTTTCCCAGAACCACCTTCCGTTTTTTCAACACCCTTGATAACACCAACCGCTACCGTTTGCCGCATATCACGTACCGCGAATCGTCCAAGTGGTGGGTATTCAGTAAACGTTTCGACACAGAGCGGCTTAGTTGGGATCAAATCAACAATACCAGCGTCACCCGACTTTAGGAACTATAAAAAAGTTTCGAAATTAAATCTCATATTCAAGATGAGAAATAAGCCTTCACAGCTTTAATCATATGAACAACAATCTAAAAATCAGAAATCGAACTTACTTTCGGGTTATCTTCCACTTTCTTCCCGGATCGCCTGTCGACCTTCTCCTTAAGTTCGGCGAATTTACAAGCAATGTGAGCTGTGTGACAGTCAAGAACAGGAGTGTATCCTGCAGCAATCTGACCTGGGTGGTTCATGATAATAACCTAAAAATACAATGCGGCTCAGGACGAAGTTGAGTAGCGTTCCATATAAAAATCCTTATTGAATGTGACAGTTCTATTTACCTGTGCAGTAAACTGCTTAGTTTCTTTAGCGGGGTCATTCTTTGAGTCGGAGGCAACCGAACCACGTCGAATCTCCTTGATGGACACATTCTTAACGTTGAAGCCAACATTGTCACCAGGAAGTGCCTCCTGCAGAGCTTCATGATGCATCTCAACGGATTTCACTTCAGTCGTAATATTCTGCGGTGCAAACGTTACTACCATGCCTGGTTTCAGAACACCGGTTTCAACGCGACCAACAGGGACAGTTCCAATACCTGAAAAACTGAAGTATAAGAATCAAATTGCCTAAAATACAACCACTAGGTGTATATTCGTCAAACTTCCAATGATGTAAGTGTAAGAATCACATCAGGATCGAAAAGTTTTTCAAAGTGGCGATTATAGACACGAAATGCACCTCCAATCTTGTAAACATCCTGCAAAGGCAATCTGAGAGGCTTGTCTGTAGGTCTAGACGGTGGTATGACCGCATCCAAAGCTTCCAGAAGTGTCTTGCCAGAAGCATTCCCTTCCTTCCTTTCAACACTCCATCCCTTGAACCACGGCATATTTTCGGATGGTTCCAACATATTGTCGCCATTAAAACCTGAGATCGGGACAAAAGCAACAGCCTTTGGATTGTAGCCAATTTTTTTGATATAATTCGAAACCTCATTGGTGACCTGAAACATTGATGAACTATGGTATCATTTCCGCAAGTCACGAAGTACAGTCACCTTGGATTTGCACTTAGTCCCCATGGATTCTCAAATCTCACTTTCAAAACGAAAACTTTAACCTCATTGAATCGAGTTTCGGAAAATGCTGGTGCAGTGGAATCCATCTTGTTGCATGCAACGATCAACTGTTTCACTCCAAGTGTTTGAGCGAGCAATGCATGTTCCCGAGTTTGACCGTTCTTCGAGATACCAGCCTCGAATTCACCAGTACCGCAAGCAACGACTAAGACAGCACAATCGGCTTGCGATGTTCCTAAAATACAGCAGATCTACTGCCTATCATCCAACAAGACACGAACTCTGTAATATCCATGCACATCCAATTTCATTCGTCTCTGCCGAACGCTGTTAAAGACCTCTGTCGTCAAAACAACATATACAAACCCCAATGACGGGGAACTTGAACATTTTTGGCATAGAGAAAGGAAAACGTGAATAACCTCCAAAAATTCATAGCAAACATACCAGTGATCATGTTCTTGATGAAGTCACGATGTCCTGGAGCGTCAATAATAGTGACATAGTATTTGCTAGTTTCGAATTTCCATAGAGCGATATCAATGGTGATACCACGCTCACGTTCAGCTTTCAACTTGTCCAACACCCAGGCGTACTTGAATGAGCCTTTGCCCATTTCTTGAGCTTCTTTTTCGAATTTTTCAATGGTACGCTTATCGATACCACCACATTTGTAAATCAAGTGGCCGGTCGTCGTCGATTTACCCGAATCGACATGTCCAATGACGACAATATTGATATGAGTCTTTTCCTTTCCCATTGTATATGCAAAAACTTGCGGACGCTACGTCACGAGTTGACAACCAATACACGAATAAGTCGAGAAGACACTGAAATTCAGCTGTTAAATTATTAGTTCATAAGACCGATAAATTAGCGTCAGATGAAGATCTCACATGATATATGAAATTCAGATCATTCATATCACTAATTAACCTGTAATTTTACGAGCATATGATTGCGCCTAAAAGATAGGTATTGCAATCTTGCTAACATAACAAAACTGATCACAGCGTTAACAAATCACTAATACATATTTCTACCAGGTATAACCTCACCCTACAATCAAGCAGACTTCCCTCGACCTAAAAATTTTTGGTAAATGAAACGACTGCGTCCCGCACGGACACTCCAACACTCACACACAACGCGCGCAATGACATACAGAAACGGACACAATGGCATCTCTGCATGTATGAATCGACAGGCAGACGGATACACAAACCAATGGTGAGGGAAATTGGAAGGAGCAGGTTGCATAACGTCGTACAACAGTCATCATGACATGCATACAGGGGGGTGAACAGATATGCATACAAAGGGAGACATAGAAAGAGATATCTGCAGATTGGAGAGGAAAGTAGCATTAGAGTGAATGAAAGCGGGACAGAAATCGAGGAATGAACGGATGATATTGCATAGATGAAGATGAAGTGGGGGCGGGCAGGAAAGGAAAACAGTGCACCGTTATCGATTTATCATCCGATCAAGGTGGCCTAAATTTCGTCCCTTGCCTCTCAATTTAACGGACCTCATGAAATGCTGCACCACATGCCCTCTCTAAGCACGAATGGGCAATTAATTGACCCCCTGGTTGCGTAACATAAGTAACACGACGATCCTCATCACTGCTAGTCCTCATAGATTTGCAGTGAACGATGCCATCAGATCCTAAAAACCAGAAAAATACGATAGCCAATGAAGAGAAGGAAAGAGTAATTCATTTGTACCAGTGAACCTTTGGGAAGAAGGGCAACTGGTATGCATAATGGGTCTCTACCATGCAAGGGGACACTCGCACATATACATATGCACGCTTACATATACACACACATACACACACACGCACACACACACACATGTGCATGCGTATATGATCACTACCCTAATAAACGCCTTACTACAACAACTGTAATATTTTTCACTGGAATAACAGCTATTAATGCAACATTCACTACCACAATAACAAATATCTTCGCCTCTTTTCCTCCTATTCATAAATGCTATGTACTTCTACCAAACAGTACCAATGGAATGTACGAAATGAAAACCATTCTAAGGGAGAAAAAAGGGGAGGATATGTCAGATTGCAGCTGAACAGATAACAATTCCGAGCTATACCCGAGGCTGTGTTCCACGTGAAGGCTTACGTCAGAGCAAGGGATCTAGGATGACATATCTAAGTAATACGATGTAACGAGCAATGATGAAGAAATTTGTCACTATCAGCAGTAGCCCATAAAAACTCTCTTTGTATCAATACAGAAACATGTGAAGAGAGTACGAAAACGTGTGGGCACGTACATTACTACTATTTCCTAATGCGTTTTTAGCCAAAAAAGGCGTTACAGTGTTAGATTAGGAACGCAAAGGGAAATGCTCGCACCAGAACTAATTTTACACAGCTCGCCTCAGAGAGAGGGAAATCCGGGCAGATTGCAAACAGCTCACTGACTTGAATGAAAATATTTTATCCCCAACTTCGAAAGCATCACTGCTCCATCTCACTCGTCAATCCCCTATCCTACCCGCTCACTTTTTCTCCAGCATTGAAGGAAATTCATCAATATGCGAATTTCGGTTGCGTTATAATTTGACAATTTCAACGAAACTGCAATGCTACAATGTGGATTGAGATGTGATAATGATGGCATGGGGATGGATATTTGATATTTATAGTTATAATAAGTCAATTCCAATTTGTGAAGTAGTTGTTTCGGGATTGCAGATAGGATAAGTTTCAAAAAGGACATCTGAAGTTTTAGTCAATCTCAACAATTATGTACGGGATTGCGTTCAGGATCACATATTTACTAACAGCAAATAGTACGAACATAAAACATAAGAAGTGGAAAGGACTAGAATTCTCGGACAATAATAGATGACCACATGTTTTTCTAGCATTAATGGGGATAAAAATTGGAAGTGGAGGAAAAATTTGCCTAACTAACGGGTGAGACAATAGGTTTCATGATAAGCTAGCCCACGAACCTATTCTATCTAAAACCGTATGCGGTATGTCTAGTTGAGACACCGGTGAAATATTGCAGCTTAAGAGAGACTTGGTTCTTGTGATATCGATGTGATTTGGCACATTTGTCCGGACACTGCATGTAATGGAAATGTTCAAATTTTCCTGTTTCAAATGAGTAAGGTCAATATTAGAATATGGATCGACTCTTTTAATTCGAAATTATAGCATCGATCTAATTTATTCCTTCTTATTTCAAAAGAAAATTTTCAACGCATTTATTTAAGAAGTTAAAATATTTCAAGTAATGATTAAAATATATCCATTTTTCTCTTTGCTCTTATTTTACTATGAAGGTCAATCCATCTGTCCTCCATACGAACAAGTAACGTTTGTAAATCATTTGACTTTGATCATTTCCGGTTTAATTAATAAATGAACAACTAGAATGACTTTGATCATCTCCTCCGGTTTTCCTAGAGATTAGGCAGCCAATTGATTCCTTTACGAAGTATTAAAGAAAACCGAAATACTCGACAGGAAATTCATACCAGCAAAATTCCGAAAATTCACAACAAGAACGTAGTTTTGTTTCGAAAAAAAAAAAAAAAGGCCAACATTATAAAATGAATCTACTCTGAAATTCTTATCTTTAACATTTTATATGAATTCGAATAATAATGTCACCAACAAAAAAAAATAAAAGGAGTGTGTTCCTAAACTTGATATTCTTGTTATGTGACCTGACCTCAATAATCTGACCCCTCGCAATCAGCAATATTTTCTAATCCATCTATTACTTCCAAAGCTCATAAAATTTGGTAGGCTATGAGTTACACTTCATGTCTTTAGTCTAAATTTGAATTTGAAAAAGTACGTACAATGTGACCCAAACGAAATTATAAATTAATGTGTTATGAGAGACCGATATTTGTTGGAATAACCTAAAAACCGCATTTGAATCGAATTTCAGAGTTAGATTTGTGTTTGAACTCCTTGATTGAAAAAAAAATTCAAAAAATTATATTTTTAAATTTTTTTCAGAAAAATATAAGAAAAAAATAAATTTGAATTTCAGAAGAAGTAAGTCAAAATTGATTTCTATCTTAAGTAACACTTTCTGAGCTTACAAAAAAAAAAATGGGATTTTGGGACAATTTTTTTTTTTTAAAAGGACTTGCTTGTTTGGAAGTTGGATCGATTTATATGCGAGAAATGCCGAACAAAATGCCTTCATTTCCAGCAAAAACTTTCCTTTCCTCCAAAATACGTAAATGCATTTAGCATAACTGACTTTTTGACTTTGTTTCATTATAAAAGACAAAATTTAATTATTTATTTTTTCCTTTTTTTTTTTTATGACAATTCAACAGCATTCAACCTGATAAGCCTGATAAGCATTCAACCATTCAACCTGATAAGTTTCCCATTTATGATAAGTGATGAAAAACGTCATGATTGGAAAATAATTTTGATAAAAATTAAATTAAACTTTTGCAGGAAACAGGAAACACTAATAATAAGGAAATTGATACACTATTAATTAATCAATTAACTAATCAAAAAAATACATACATTTTGGATAAGGTTTTTTCACATTACTAATATAAGCCATAGAATTCTTAAATCATTGATGGATAATGTTATGAATATTTCGGAAAATGTGCATCATTGGATAGTATCTTTTTTCCGGAAAGAGTATTTTAAAATATATCCTCTTTCCATATCTTTGCATTTCTGGACTATCTCATTGCTATGTATTACATAAATTCTTTGCATAATTGCATATCATTGGTCTTTTTCCAATCCCATAGATAATTAACGGTGTGTAGATAATTAAGTAAATTAGCAATTAATAGTGATCATTAGCAGTGAAAGTGATATCGTATTTTTTTTTTTTACCTTTATATAATTCTAATGAAAGTTTACTTCAAGAGAGAGAGAAAAAAAAAAAACGACATATCAAGTTATTCCGTTTAATTCATCCAATGATTGCATTGTTAATAGTAATTTACTCATGAAGTATTCCAATCTCAAATAATATATTTATTTTAAATTTTTGAAATTTAAAAAAAAATTTACCACTCTTAAATTACATATTTTTGTAGTTCATTTGCTTAGAATAGATGCAAGAAATTTGAATGTATTTTGGAGGTGGGAATTTTCTAATTTCAAAATCCGACAATTTCACAACAAATAAATACAATGAACATTTTCCCGTGGGCGGATAATTTAATACTTAATTTTACCATTACATTATCCAAAAGATCCTTTTTATAGGCCAGAAAGAGTTGAGATGATTGGTTCTCATTAGCATAAATTGTTTACCCAACTTTTCATCACTTTATTTTATCCATCATTCAACCATTTAAAAGAGAGAGAGAGAAGAAAAAAAAAAACAAAAAACAAAAAATTTGAGAATATATTATCAAATTGGATAAATACTTTCCTGATACGGTAGGAAAAAAAATCACGTTTTTCAGGAAATTAATCATAATTTTAAACACGTTTTCATCCTTCTTCAGATTCATTTATTTGCAATCATTATTAGAAATGCTTTCAATGCTTTTCCGAAATATAGTGGGAGAAAATTTGATTAAGCTTTTTAGCTTTTTGTTTCGATTTCTCCGATGAATCCCATATGTTTCATTTCAATTTCTTGGGAAATTTTTCAAAATAGCAGTTGAATTCTGCATTCAATTAATTCTAGTTCACATTAGTAAAGTGAATTTTCGAATTTCACTTTCAAATTAATTTAATGGTTCTGAGAGCTCCTATGTGAAAGATATCATAACATTTTCCATTTGTAAACGCGAATAGCGTCGAATACGCTAAACCACTTGGGATAAATGAATAAATTTGAAGTTTAGCATTTCATAAAAATCTTTTTTTTTTTTTTTAAAAATTATGAAATCTTTTTTTTTTCATCTTTTATTTTTAATTAAAATAATTTTGAATGAAATGTTACCATGTATATTTAGGATTAAATTTACTTATTTTCTTTTTCTTTCCTTTTTTTTTATTGTTATAAAATTCATCAAATTTTAACTATCTATGCTTTTGCCCTTTTTAATCTATAAAACTTCTTTTTTTTTCCTTGACATTATATTTTGTAGCTACTTTTTTTTTTTGATGAAATCAATTTCTAAACTTAAATAATATGCTAAGTGTACTTAGTCTAAATAAAAATTAATTTTAGTGCAGTTATACTCCTGGAAATTAGTAAATTTAGCTTATTCATCTAATGCAATCACCGAAAAATTATTTTCTTTCATTTACAAATTTTTTAACTTTATAAACTATTTCCTAATTTTGATC